TTGGCTGGTATGGAACTTTCCTTGAGAAAATAAAGGGTTCGATTCGAAACAGCCGAAACGTTGTGAATATGACAATGAAGATGAGGATAACAGTCCGAATAATATAAATAATGCAAGTAATCCTAATACCTAATCTAAGAGATATAGACAAAGATATAGAGCGACATAGAGATAAAGGCCGGAGAGTACAACGGCCGGAAAGTTGTGAATATTGTAATGAAGATGAGGATAAGAGTCCGAATAATGTAAATAATACAAGTAATCATAAGACCTCATCTCAGAGACATAGAGGCTGATACTTGTGAATATGGCAATGAAGATGAGGATAACAGTCTGAATAATGAAAATAATGCAAGTAAACTCTGATGTATATTTTGCCATTAAGGGGTTCGGTGTTTAGATTATTATCAATTTAAATCCTGTTTTTACTATGCTGGTGACGTGCTTTGCAATACTCTTGCCACATACAACATTATTTTTTTTTCATTATTGAGATCGAGTCTGTATGCCTATTCATAGTTGAATATATTTAAGACATCAGTTCTCGGAATTAAAGACATTTTATTTCACATATTTTTTATAATTAGGATTTACTATTTGAAGTCGATTGAATGATGTCTACCAGAAAATACGCCCTGGGTATAACGATGAACTACACCTGGCATCAAGGTCTCTGATCAGTAAGTTTTGTGGGCCGTGGAACCAGCACTTAATTGCTATTATTCCCAGGTCCCCCTGATCCGGGGTGGTTGCACCAGCTATGGGAAAATAGTTAACCCCCAAACTGGGGTCAACACACAATTTTTTTTTATAGTAAAAATACCACCTATACATTTTTGTAAAATAAATCACTAATACTGGCAAGAAGTATTATGGTAATATTTTTTTCAAAAATTTATTGTTGCTAATGTTTTTTTTGTTTTTTTTTACAAAAATGGATTGCTGGTAATAATATTTTTCTTCAAAAATTCATTGCTGGGAATAATTTTTCCTCAAAAAAATTCACTGCTGGGACTAAAACCTATTCTTACACTTTCATAGTGCTTTGAACCCATTTTGGGGATTAACTATTTGCCCATAGCTGGGACCCTAACAGATGCTACCAACCCGGTCAGGGTGGACCTGAGAACACCAACAATTAAGGAGTGGTTCCACGCTCCTCAACACCTCCAGATCAGAGGCTTTGATGTCGGATATAGTATATCGTCTTACCCAGGAAGGGATGCAGTTCATCATCTTACCCAAAACGCGATATGTAGTTTATCAGTTTACCAAGGATGAGGATATAGTTTATCGTCTTTCTCAGGACGCGGATGTAGTTTATCGTCTTACCAAGGAAGCGAATGTAGTTTATTATCTTAACCGGGACACGGATGCAGTTTATCGTCTTTCTCAGGACGCGGATGTAGTTTATCGTCTTGCCAAGGAAGCGGATGTAGTTTATTATCTTAACCGGGACACGGATGCAGTTTATCGTCTTTCTCAGGACGCGGATGTAATTTATCGTCTTGCCAAGGAAGCGGATGTAGTTTATTATCTTAACCGGGACACGGATGCAGCTTATCGTCTTACTCAGGACGCGGATGTAGTATATCATCTTACGAAGGATGCGGATGTAGTTTATCGTCTTTCTCGGGACGCGGATGTAGTTTATCGTCTTACCGAGGACGCGGATGCAGTTTATCATCTTACTCAGAACGCGGATGTAGTTTATCATCTTACCAAGGAAGCGGATGTAGTTTATTATCTTACCAAGTACGCGGATGTAGTTTATCGTCTTACCCAGGACGCGGATATAATTTATCATCTTACCCAGGACGCGGATGTAGTTTATTGTCTTACCCAGGAAGGGATGCAGTTTATCACCTTACCAATGACGCGGATGTTGTTTATCGTCTTATCCAGGACGCGGATGCAGTTTATCGTCTTACTCTGGACGCGGATTTAGTTTATCTTCTTACACAGGACGCGGATGTAGTTTATATTCGTACTCAGGACGCGGATGTTGTTTATCATCTAACCCAGGACGCGGATGTAGTTTAGCGTCTTACCCAGGACGTGAATGTAGTTTATCGTCATACCCAGGACGCGGATGTAGTTTATCGTCTTACCCAGGACGGACGGAATATGTAAGCAACATGATTTTTTTTTAAACTAAAATCAGAAAGGCATACTTAACATTTCTTGAAGACACAATGAGGAAAGAATCTTGGAGAAATTAACACTCACAATACAGAAGAGAGGAGGGGAGAGGGAAACGACCACTGACTTAACGAATGAATCTATGTGAATGGATGAGAGATCTGGATTAAAAAAACAGAAGAATTTGGAGAAGCACGATCACCCACTTCCTAATAGGAAAGGATACCTAAAAAAAGACTCATTTTCACCCTATTCTTGCTGATTTTAGCAGTGTTGTTAGAGGAAATGTCTCAAATTTCACTTTTAATATCTCGAGGTATTAGAAATGAACTCAGCTTAAGGATTTATGTAATTTCAACAGATGTAGAAAAGATGACAGTGACAAAGTCTGAAATCTTTGCAAAGGACATCGGATGAAAAAAAAAGTGCAAAATATGAAAACAATGTCTCCTTTAACAGATAATGTCTCCTTCTATAATGCTATGGCGAACTACTGACCCGCGAGTCGTGAACTGACCCATCAGCAACATTTTATTGATCCACGAGGAGTCAGTAAAATGAATGTCAAGAAATATGACTTGCAATGAACTACATAAAACCCACGACCAGAAATCGCTTCGGTGTGACTTATGAGGGTTGAATGCATTAAGCAGACAACAAAGTATGAACATTCAATTAAAACAATATCAACTAAAATGCAGCAACAGGATTCTCATTAAAAAAAAAAAAAATACCGGTAAGTATATGACATGAACAATTTATGTTCATAAATATTTCAAAATACCAAAAATGACCCGGCAACTATAAACGTTCGTCATATCTGTTGTAGAGAATCAAATGAACGTTTTCTGTTATGTACCATGTCCCTACCGGAAGTGGGCGATCTTGGCTCTCCACAACCTCCTATTATCTGAAACTTTAGGCAATATTTTTCTCTCTTTACTATCACTATCAAAAGTCTCCTAAATCAGCCAAGCGTAGAAATGAATACAATATGGGAACCACCAATACGGACTGATAGAAAAAAAAAATAATAAAACAGAAAAATTGTAATATGAGCTCTGTTGAAAAATACTTACTTAGACATTAGGTTTATAAGTGTCAAATACCCATACACTCAAGGGCACATGACCCAGTGGATAAAAGACGTTGTCTGAATCCAGTGTACTTGTCCCAAAGAGTTGTGAGTTCAATACCCGGCTACAAAAGAGGCGGATAGAAAGTTGACGAATTTAGTTAAAAGGTACAAAATATGGAAACAATGTTTCATATGGCGAATGTGCCATGTCCCTATTGGAAGTGAGCGATCCTAGCTCTCCTCAACATCCTATACTCTCTAACCAGTAATACGTAGTTCTAGAAAGAAAATAATAACTACAAAATTGTAATATAAGCTCTGTTGAAAAATGTTTACTGAGACATTAGGTTTATAAGTGTCAAAAATCCATGGCCCAATCGATAAAAGCGTTGGTTGAATCTAATGTACTTGACCCAAAGAGTTGTGAGTTCAATACCTGGCTATAGCAGAGCTGAGCAACAAGTTGGAGAGTTGAATTAAAAGGGAGATAACTGATATCGAGATATCTGAAAAAGACGTGTAAGTAGAACTCCAAAAACCTGAAGATGTCCGCAGCGTACAACAGCCGAAACGCCGTGAATATAGAAACGAAGATGGGGACAACAATCCGAATAATGTAAATAATTACAATACCTTATCTCAGAAACATAGGCACTCTATTATAACATTCATTTACTCAACATTTTCTTCTTTCTTGCCATCAATATGTCATGTGAGTATCAAAGTCTCCAACCTGCTTTTCTCATTACATGTACAAAAAAAAGCAAATTATGCTGTGTCTTTCTTATTCAAATTTTAAGAATTATTTTCTTTGTATTTTCCTTATATCATTTTTGTTGTTCACATGATCCGCCCATAAAACCACATCTTTGTACGCTCCTCTTCATCGTAAAGATATTGACCATAGCGAGGAATTGATATTATATAACACGTTCAGACTTTATTGTTTTTTAAATGAAATGTGGTTGAATTTCTGGGCATCATTTTCGCTATTGCTACGTGCATTTGGACTTCACGTTGTCAGTTAAAAACTCTACCCAAATAGACAGAGTTCTATATTTGCTTGCATCTGGCATCACCAAGACGTAGATGCAATTTTTGGCTGTTTATCTTGCTAATGACTATGCATAAGTCTTTATGCAAATGTCTTACAACTGTCGATCTGTGTCTGCTATCAGCACAGTGTCATCTGCATATCTAATGTCGCTAAGATTATGCCCGGCATAATAAATCTTGGTAGAATTCTTGATGTCTTAGAATTGACTCACTGTTTAGGGCGAAAAAACACGTGAGAAATCATCTGCTAGTCTGACATCCTCTTTTTCATTTTGGCCAGTTCACTTTCGATCCGTATGCAGACAGTTCACGGAAATATTTGGAATCATTCTAATATATTTCTCATATGAATCAAGTTTTCAAAGAACACTGTTCCATATTTCGTTGAGTTTAAGAATTATATAAAATTCTGAAATAATTTAGCGATAAATAAAACCAACAAAAACGAGAAAGAAATTTCGAATTAATCATTTTGGAATAACAACACATCATCTCAAAAAATGTAAATTAGAAAAGAAGAACGTTTTCTGGAAAATTTATTATGGAAAAAGTAATTACAAATAAGGTGTTCATGTGAACACTGGCATTTATTCAAAACACTTGCCACACAAATGATATGCTTAATAATCTCGCAAGCCATTACTAGTAAGTTGATATATTTCTGTGCGTAACTACTTGTGTTTATTGATTAGCAATTTAAGAATTTTTTTTTTTTGGAATACACATTGAGAGATGACAGACAGAAATAAGAATATGGATGGAACAGAGACACAAAGAAAGTGATAGATAGATAGATAGATAGATAGATAGATAGATAGATAGATAGATAGATAGATAAAAAAAGAAATGAAAATCTTGTAACTGATAAGGAGAGAGAGAAAAAGAAAAAGAAAAAAGAAAGAAAGAACAAGTGATAGATAGATAGATAGATAGATAGATAGATAGATAGATAGATAGATAGATAGAAAGAACTTGTGATTGAGATAGATAGATAGATAGATAGATAGATAGATAGATAGATAGATAGATAGATAGATAGGGAAGAAAGACAGGGTGAAAAAAGAAAGATCATCTGATAGATAAAAAGAAAGAGAAAAAGAAAGAGAAAAAGAAAGAAGAAATATGATGTGATAGACACAGAAAGCAAGATTAAGGGAGAGGTGATAGATATATAGATATGAATAGACTTCGATAGAAAGAAAAAAAGAAGGATCTTGTAACTGATAGCGAGAGAGATATTGTCATAGAAAGAAAGAAACTAAGAAAGAGAGAAAAAAGAAAGAAAACGTGAGAGATCTTGTGAATGATAGAGAAAGATAAAGAGTAGAAAAGAAAGAAATGTGTTAGAAATCTGATAGAAACACATATATTGTGATAGAATCAAAGAAGAAAGAAAGATCATGTTATAGATAGACAGAGAGATAGAAATCGACGGATATATATATATATATATATATATATATATATATATATAGATAGATAGATAGATAGATAGATAGATAGATAGAATGAAACAAGAAATAAAGAAAGAAAGTAAAAAGAGAGAAAAAAGAAAGATGTGATAGATAGATAGATAGATAGATAGATAGATAGATAGATAGATAGAATATTTTGTGACTGAAAGAGAGAGGGAAAGACTAGAAAAGAAAAAATGGGATAGAAATCTGATAGAAAGACATATATTGTGATAGATGCATAGAAAGAAAGAAAGAAAGAAAGAAAGAAAGAAAGAAAAAGAGAGGACATGTGAAATAAAGAAAGAAAGAAAGAAAGAAAGAAGCTGAAATAAGTTTGCACTTGAGAGATAGCCATATACTGATACAGAATGACAGACAGATAGATAGATAGATAGATAGATAGATAGATAGATAGATAGATAGATAGATGAGGCATTCCCCCGTAGCAAGATCCGCATTGTTCCTCATTCGCAGAGAAGCCCAATCTGCTGCTGGTGCTTCTGTTCCGATGATCACGATCGCTGAGTCCGAATGCAGAGGCGGTCAGTTACACTTTCATTTTCCTTCTACTACGATTCTCCACCTGGACACAGGCTGCAAATAGTGAGGCTACTACTAAAACAATTGCCGATGTTTCCAGTTATTGATTGTTATAACGTGTGTTTTGGTAGGGATTGCAATCGAAAAAGTACTCCTGGCATTGGTACCAACTCTGCTTTTTTTTCTGTGTCAGGGAGAATTAAGCTTCAGGTTTGTCGACAAAGTTGTAAGATTTCGGAGGGATTATTGGCACGTGCTTCAATTTCAATGATAGGAACAAACTAATAGATAGATAGATAGATAGATAGATAGATAGATAGATAGATAGATAGATATGGACAGACTGAGATAGATAGATAGATAGATAGATAGATAGATAGATAGATAGATAGATAAGCATATTAACATAGATAGATAGATAGATAGATAGATAGATAGATAGATAGATATAAGCGTACTAAAATAGATAGATAAGCATATTAAGATAGATAGATAGATAGATAGATAGATAGATAGATAGATAGATAGATAAGCATATTTAGATAGATAGATAGATAGATAGATAGATATGAACATACTAAGATAGATAGATACGAACATACTAAGAATGATAGATAGATAGATAGATAGATAGATAGATACAGAACATACTACGATATATATATATATATATATATATATATATATATATATATATATATATATACAGATAGATAGATAGATAAACAGATTTAGAGAAACAGAAAATGAGACATATTAATTATATATTTATATATAAACACTATGGCATACATATGAACAAATATACATAGACAGAGAGAGAGAGAGAGAGAGAGAGACAGAAAGAAACAAACAAAGAAACGAACAAACTGAAAAGAGACAAAGAGTCCCGTATCAGTTGGTAGATATGCGCAGGACTAGATACGACCAGATAAAGCACTGGTTCAGATAGAATTACCAAAACGTAATGGTGATTGAAAGTGTAAATAGTCTGCAAGACTTGCTTGTTCAACATTGCTTTGTGGCAGGTGCACTCCGATAACATTTTAGGTGTCGATACATGCGTTTGTCTCTATGTGGGCCTCTGTGTTTCTCATTATTTTGGTCTCTGCTGCTGGACGAACGATTTAGCTTGTTTATATGTCAACGAGTTGGTTGCTTAAAAGTCCTCAGTATGTACAAGAACCTCTTCTCTAATTTTTGAAACTTGACTAATGCATGGAATAATAAGGCAACACAAAATGTACTTAGAACAAAATGTATTGAAACAAGAAAGTGTACACAATATTTACATATAGTCTTTTGTATATTCCTGGTAAGACCGTTCCTGGAGAATGTGTTAACTGAGTCGCAGTCGGGCAGAGTCTCTGGTTGAATCTCTTGATTCCTCCCTCTCTTCCCGGTACCAACCATATTTATATGGTCGGTACTCCACTATGCAAATTAGGTGGATCCTACCACAAGACTAATAAAATCTGATTTTTGCCCTTTTGATCAGATTCAGATGTTTTTCGAGTCGAAAGATTTTCCCCAAGCACTGACTATATATATATATATATATATATATGTGTGTGTGTGTGTGTGTGTAAAAGAAATATGTTGTAGTGGTTCCAACGAGAGAAAAGTATGTATATTAAAAAGAAGAGAAGAGAGGTGCCGCAAATGTTTTTGGTTGTAATGTGGATTTATTTAGAAAAAAATATTATGCTTTGTTTTACATAATTTTACGACACGTGTTTCTGGTCTCGTGACCGTCTTCAGGTAAAAGCGGAGATTTCCACATATTATTAAAAATAATTAATTTTTCCTTATGTTCAATGTTAAATATTCTCGATATGAGACATTCTCTGTTTGTGTGTTGGTAATCCGAATTTAACATTGAACATAAGGAAAAAATTAATTATTTTTTTACTGCTTTTAAACTACAATCTTCCATGAATCTCTCACGTACATTCATATCTGCTCAAAGTGTATCCAAATGTAAACAAATGACGTCACACATTATGAAATGGGCAATGTCCGGCAATTATTTTAAGACATTATTATATAATTGTCGGAATATAAAAGAATGTCTAAACATATATATATATATATATATATATATATATATATATATATATATATATATATATATATAAACACGAACATAAACCTGCCACACTACATGCGAAAAATACTAGTAGAAAAGACAAACATAATAATTTCATCCTCATAAGATTAAAATATTGGAAGTTTTCATAATAAAAAAGAGAACGCAACCTGCAATAATATTAACAACGAACATGGTCACAATTTGCTGACCGTTTTCAGAAAATAAAACATCCCGATAACTCTAGAAACATAAATACAATCCATACACTCAGTTCAAAAAGCAAAAATAAGATCATCCTTGATAATGGCTAAAAGTAAAGCCAAATGCGCCCGGAATTACAAAATATTTGAAACTTTTCTACGCAACAGAAAACACTTGTTCGAAGACCAGAAAAATCAAATAAAAAACTTAATCGTAATACCTTATCTGTCGTCTTTAATGAAATATGTATTAAATGAAGGAGTGTTGCCTAAATACACACTATACATATATGATATATATATATATATATATATGTATATTTACATAAATGTGTTCTAAATGTTGATTATATATATATATATATATATATATATATATATATACAGGGCTGTTCGATAAAAGTGACTCACCTGATTTTTTTAACTTAAAATTTTTTCGCCTATTGTTTTTGTGGTCAAACTAATTTTTAATCTTACTAATATAAAGACCCCTTCCTGACCACCTAGTAAAAAAGTTTACTCCCCCTAAGGTATTCTATTGATAATTATAATTTTGGATATAAATGAGATTTAGGAAAAGGCTCTGTGCAAAAAAAAGTGACTCACTGCAACTAGTAATCAATACAATCATAACCGAACAGCTTTAAATTTAATTTATGAAATTCACGATCAAATCTTCTTTGTTGCTCAACTGCTTTCTCGAGTGCCTGTACTTTATACTGCTCCATAAGTTTTCTATGGGGTTGAGGTCAGGAGATTGGGGCGGCCATGTCGTAACACTCACCTGCTTCTCATCAAAGTATTCCTTCATCAATTTTGATTTGTAACAGGGAGCATTATCCTGCATAAAAATGAGCTTAGTGGGGTCGATTTGCACCCTTTCAGCAGAAGGGAGCAGACAAGACTCTAAAATTCTCTTGTACTGCTCGCTCCTGAGGGTCTTTTCAATAGGTTTTAAGAAACCAGTTCCTTGAAAAGAAAAGCATCCCCAGAACATTATACTGAACGGATTCTTGACAGTACTTACTGCTAAATTCAAAGAGCTTTCAAAACTTCTTCTTCGGATTTTAGATCGCTTATCCTTTGAATTTAGCTCAACTTTCATTTTATCGGAGAAGAGAACATTTAGTAAAAAAAAAATCAGGTGAGTCGCTTTTATCGAACAGAAATATATATATATATATATATATATATATATATATATATATATATATATATATATATTATTCAAATTGTTGATTATATATGTATATATATTGTAATCCGTTATTTAAAATATATATATATATATATATATATATATATATATATATATATAGCGATCAAAGGTAATTACCGTATATCTTCGTGTCAGTGGATTATTTTCTCTTTTAATCAAAGTAGCAATCCTTATGTCAAAATTGTGGTCATTTTCCTTACGCTAAACAACTAATTCTTTTTGTGTTTTGTTTTTTAAAATGTCCCCTTTGTGTTCATATAGTCTCTTCTTTAAACTCCTTGAAGTTTCTCCAATGTATTCATTCTGGAAATTCCTGTATTTGAGTAAATTCCTTCGTTGGGTATAAGGAAATTTCTCTTATTTTAGAAAATTTTATGACCCTTTTCTTTCGCATTGAGTATGAAATAGGGTACTGAAGGGTCCCGAATGAATTTTCAATATATTTCTCCTCTTCGTGTAAATAATGTGGGCTGCCAATTCTGAGTGCTCTTAAATAGAATTTAATGATCATTCCGCATTTTATTTTGTTGTTATAATGGGAATAGGTATATTCCCATCATAACAAAATAATATATATAAGACAATAATATATATAACAAAATAATATATAAGAAAATAATATATATAACAATATAATATATATAAAAAAATAATATATATAACAAAGTTATATATATAACAAAATAATATATATAACAAAATAATATATATAAGAAAATAATATATATAAAATAATATATATATATATATATATATATATATATATATATATACATTTGAACAATTTCTCATGCAAGATATTATTTTTACTACTTATGAAATCACATGAAAAAATTGTATGAAAACCTAAATAAAAGCACCTTGTCGGTCGTATTCAATGAAATGTGCATAAAAGAAGGATTGCTGTATGAATACACACACACACACATACATACATACATACATACATATATATATATATATATATATATATATATATATATATATATATATATATATATATATATTTAAAAACAAAAACAGAAAAAATAAAGAGCAGTAAGATATATAATCCGATGTTCTTATTGATATTTTTTTATTTATTTTTACAAAACAGTGTTCAATGTAATTTTACAGAGTATAAATATTACAAATTAACTGATTTAAAATATGGTTCCTTCGCTATATTGGGGTAGACTGATCTAGTTGCACGTGCCATGTTTAATGGATGTCAATTATCAGTCATCTCCTGTTAATAACCCTCTCCAAGTTCTCCACTGCCTTAACCAGGTATTTAACTCATGCTCTTTGGGTCCTGTCACTAGATCTAACTAACGCCTTTATCCACTGTGCCATGTTTCCATGGCACGTGGAACTAGAACAGTCTACCCCAGTGAACGAAATAA